AATCAATGTAAAATGCACTTCTCTCTATGTGAAAAGTTGGCTGTTAGATGTAAAGTCACCGTCCACCAAAACCACTCCCACAACAATAGAATAGCAAACGGACCTATCCTAAAATAACCGCAGGCTTAACCTGTTCATTAATGTATTCATTCTTAAATAGTTAAACTTCATTTGTGAACTTGACTTTATATTAAAGTCTCAAGACGCATTGTTGGAGATTTTCATTAGTAGCTTATTGTTTTTTTCGGCAAAGCCGTGAATGAGTACGTGCAAGCGTTGACACGACGCACACGCGCGCGCGGCTGCTATAATTCGTCGATTCAGTGCGCGACATCGCGTAGTTGCAGTCAATTGAATGAGAACGTGTCGCGGAGGCTGAATTTGGGCGCAATTCAAAACATGTCTCGGCAACTAGGATTTGAAATCAAGATCCTAGAATATTGTTCTCTTGAAATATAGGCCTACAGCATTCACTGAGCTAAAACTTCATCTGGTATAAGCACCCTTTTTTAGATTGTGAGCACTTTTTTTGCTTGAAACGAACATAATGCACAAACTACAAATGATGTACTCTAGCTACCTTTAATGGCCAATGAGCTATGCAGATGAGTTCAGTGGTCCAGGAACATGTGCGTGAAGCAACGAATGCGCACACAAGATCCTTGGCTTCCCAATTCTTTAGTGTTGCATCATCGTACGTTTGATCTCTGTCTGCAAAAGAGGCCTACTCTGCTTCCGTTAAGATTTGACAACAAGTCATGAATCGGTTCTGACAAAAAGGTCATGTATTGGCGTCCACATACCAAAACGAGCAGGAGTGACTGTTTTCAAAATGTCTGAATTGTCCGAAATGCGTTCACGTTGACACTTCGATTACCAGTAGACAGTATTGTTTTTTCCGACAAACAGAATACCTGTTGTGCTCATCATTCCGTGATATTGTTGAGTTCATCAAATCAAGATTCCAATGCATTAACTGCATTGGCAACGTTCATTTGGAGGTGCAGCCAGGGTGGGTGCAGAATGGTGGCCGCAACGTGATGGACATTTTAAAAGCAAAATCGGGACTCTGATAAAAACAGAACTGGGACGGTGGAAATGGAGTAAACGGGAAGTAAATTCTACTTTGCATGCAGCGGGCAAACCCTGGCTACGCACCTGACTTGTACTCCCTCAGTCTGTAATATCTGTATTAAATTTTAAAGTTATTTGATGCCTTATAGACCTCAGTTGATCGTATGGTCAGAGGACCAACCTACAAACGGTCGAAACGGCCGCGGCCAACATATTCAATAGCGCCATCTGTAGTGTCATTATGACATCACATTGCATCCAGTCCCATTATCATTATTTCTTAATCCTTATTTTAAAATGGTCCCTGCTTTGTGAATCTCTGATGATCATTATAATTAAAAATATCTCTTTAATGCATATTTTTAAGATGTCAGTGTCTCACACGACTTGTTCCCACTGATTGTATCAGATGACACTATTGAGTGATCAACCAGGATTTAGGCCAAATAAAAAATAAATAAAAAAACCATTTAGAGTCCCGCCGGCCCGCTTCCTTTTTGGGGGAGGCCGCCTTCTTTTTTTCCTTCTTTTTTAAATTGGAAACAAAAAAATTGATAGATTTTAAACAGTGACATCATTTTTGCCTCTTTGTCTGTGGCATCTAGCCCACATAAAGCTGGCATGTCATTTCCTGTGTCCAGGTGGCGGCCATTTAAAAAAAAATATCTGGTGGCCATCTTGAAAAACAGCCAGGCCGGTCGTTTTGGAAAATGGGTCGGGCGGCCATTTTGGGAAAAAAGGGCCTCCTCCTTCCTTTTTTCAAAAAACCAGGACGCTTAACATTTTTTTCTGTGCCTAATGTAAAACTACCTCATGTAAGTAAAGCTTCTACTGTTATTGTTGAATCTAACATGGCAAGGCCCCCCAACGTGGCGCACTTTGATTTTGCTCCTCCTGTGCTTTGCTAAAGGGCAAAACTTTTAACTCAAGTTCACATGCAATGAAAAGAAAAGTTAATCTCTAAGTCTAGTATTTTCATTCATTACCATGAGTTTTTCTACTCCGTACAAGGTGAGATAATAACGTTTGGCGCGATTTTCCATTTTATTTTGAAGAGCGCAGCGTGACCTACGGCACCCAACATAAAATTAAAATCTTCTAACACACATGAGGCTGGATGAGACATGAGTGGAGACATTAGGCTATGCCTTTACATTATTAAACTTGTAAGAAATTCTTAAATGTTTACATTGGATTATTTATTTTGTTCTGTACTGCACCACGGGGGAACACGAGGGCCTATAGCTAGACTACGTCGACCGTCCGGAAATTGGGCACATGCGCAAAATCAGCCAACTCTGCCAAGGTACATCAACTGTTTTTATGCCCAGTTTCCGGACGGTTGAATATCGAACAAATGTTCATCATAGTTCACAACACTAATAACATTGTCACCACGTACACCAGCAAGCATTACTCAGGTAACAGTGTCAGCTAGTACAACTGAATGAATTTTTGGCTAATTGTCAACGAAGAGGTTTTGGCAAAACTACATAACGTACATACATGACGTAAGGCCTATGAAGGGTAGGCCGGCCCATTATACATGTATGTATGTACTCCACGTGAGTTGTCTAGGGCCAACATTTTTTTTCACAATTTCAAAGTTCCCCCTATTCCTCGAACTATGAATTTGAACTTTGTACTCACCAGTTTGATGTCGTGACCTAGACTTCAACCGTAGTCCCAAGTGAGTCGCAGACAGCATGCACTGTTCGGGTACAAGTTCGCTAGTGTTCCACGAGCCGACATCGCGTTGCTTTCGCGGGGCGCCTATTTCGGAATGGAAATGGCGCCCTCAATTTGTTGAATGAGCCAACGTGCGCACGGGTGATTTTGTCTTTACAAACATATTGTGGGTGAATTGTAACATCGGAAATTGGGTTTCTCTTCTTTTGTTTGAAAGAACAATGCAGAGTAAATGTGGGTCAAGAGTTATGTAAGGAGAAGCCAAGGTTCTTTACCTGGAGGCAGCTATCCATTTCACCAAAATCGATGCTTGTCATACAGGAATCATAATGGCTTCGAAGCCATTGGCGCAAAAAGCGAATTTTTGTGTTTTAGTAATATTTTTTGCCAATTTTTACATAAATGTAAAACCACCATAACTACTTCATAATAGTGCCACTTTTGGTTGAAAAAAGTCATCAAATCATTGGACAACATCCCCCGGGCAGCGTATTCGGAGAAAAATGTAAACATTTTGGACAAAACACTGCTTTTGACCAGATATGGGGAACAAGTAGTGAAGCGCCCTCTTCTGATCACCGCTGTGCAACCCAATGACGTCATTGTAGATTACTGCCTAATATGCACATTAGGATTAATATGCACATTAGCATGGTGCATGGGAACCCACAAGGCGCAGCAACATCGTACACATAAGGAACGATCGTAGCCGTGATGATTAATGCACGTTGATAAATGAATAAGCCCCAATATTAATGAAGGCCTACTTAATTCAGGCCTCTCGTACAGGCCATAGATTTCACAAGGAAAATCTGCAACTACTGAAGTTAAAGTTAGGGAAAGTCATGTACATTCGTATTTTAAAGGTCATGAAATTGACGAATAGAGCCATATAGGCAATGATTATCTGTCATTTTTTTCGCACAAAAAAAAACATGCAGTCATTTTGGTACATTTTAGATGTGACTTTGTGCTTTAATAGGACCTTGCAAAGACAATTAATTATAAGCAAACATTTAAGGATGGTCTCAAACAACGCACAAATTATATTCAATCTGGCAACTTCAAAACTGGAGATCTTTTCAAATGTACATCTTGTGTACAGAGAGGACCGCACTTTATATGGGCTGATCCAGTATTGCCCCTCCCACTGCGCACGTGGGCAAATTAACACGTGCTCCTCTCCAATGCCACACTGCATTTCCCTGCCGCTCGCATCATGCGCAAATGCACGCATGTCGGAACTTTGGTGCACGCATGTCGGACATAAATCACGGCTGTGATTGGTCAGAATACCATGGGGCGGTTACTGGATCGGTCCATTACGTGGTAATCATACATAACAGCACTGCACTTCTCTCTTCACCAGCCGACCAGGCTGATTATAGTCACAAGCGACAGTCAGTCAGTGAGTATAATAGCTGCAGAGGTAAAAAAGAAGATCGAAGCAAGCCCTCTGCTGGGACCACCAAAAATGTGCACATGTAAATAAGTTCCGTGCACCTGTAGTGAGAATACACTTGTATTAATCTATTTACACCCTTCATCAAAAGTTATAAGTGCCGTGAATTAACCAAATTTATACAATAATAATTATGTTATATAGGGAAGCTTATATATACATTAATCCAATATTAGGTTTTAACCTTCACAGACGTATACCATTGATGAGTGAGTAATTTGTAACCCCCAAGTGAAGTGTGAAAACATGATCACTCGGGTGGTACAAAACTCGAACCCACGACCTCCTGCTTTATGTGCAGATGCGTCTTACTACTCGACCACTGAGCTTGCCGGGATCAGCTGGCTGGTTCGAATCTGATGTAGCAGTGGGTACAAATGAAGGGCAAAACATAATATTGAGTTTAAATCACCCCGACGCAAAATTCCATCATAATGAATGCACCAATTAAGCTGTTACCACAAAGTGCTCAATACAATTCTATAATAAAAGTGTTTTGTTAGTTAAAGTGGACACTATGATGTGGCTCAATTGCAGGTTTTCATAGCGGATAAATCTGTGTCAAAAATGCCATTCTGGGTAACTCTTTTCGAAGAAAATATTTACTGGTGGTCATTATAACTAATGCGAGCGCGAAGCCCTTACGTCGTGGGGTCCGGGGGAAACGATATGATACCCCCCCCACCTTAAAAAGTGGACATGTCCCCCCCCCCCACCTTAAAAAGTGGACATGTCCCCCCCCCCCCCCCCCCCCCCCGTATTGACGCTGAGAATGCGCGCCGCATACTTTACAGATTCCTGGGTTCCAGGTTGAGAAGTATTTCTTGCACCGGTCTGACCACGATGGTCAAACAGGGCACGGGCTCCGGTTCACCCTTCGCCAGACTCAAGCGGAACCGCTTCAGGATCCTGGCGGTCAAGAACCGGACTTGGTTGTAGGCGAACTGCTGCCCGATGCAGTTGCGAGGCCCAGCGGAGAACGGGAGGTAAGCGAAGGGGTCCAATGCGGCCAGGTTCCCTGGCAGGAACCGGGCGGGATTGAACTCCATGTGGTCGTGGCCCCACACGGTCGGGTTGTGGTGGAGTTGGTACAGGTTGATGGCCACTGTGGTGCCTACAGGCAGCGTGATGCCGTCGACATCGTAGGGAGCAGTCAGACTGCGGGACGGCAACATGACCGGGGAGTACATCCGTATGACCTCCTTGATCACCAAAGACGTGTACTCCAGACTGCTCAGATCATTGCTGTGGTTAGGAACCATGAGTTGTGAGTCATTACAAGTAACCAAACCCATCGTGAGTCCTTACAAACACTAACAAAATAATCATTACAAAGGTCGACACAATAGTCACAGTCACCCACTCCAGTTTCAAGTCAAATGACGAGTTATTCAAACGGCAATGTTCATATTCACTCTATAGGTTGACATAACTTTGGTCAAATTAAATCACGAGTTGTGATTGGCCAAGTCTGTAGATCGAGGCACCTACCTGGTGATCCAATCAGAGTCTCTGTCAGCCAGCAACTCGTCCACTTCCTCCCTGACCCGAGTCTGGTGCTCAGGGTACTTGGCCATCGCATACAGCACCCACGTCATGGTACTAGACGTGGTGTCGTGTCCACCGAAGAGGAACGTGTTGACTTCGTCAGCGATCTCCTTTTCACTAAGGCTGACGCCATCTTCGTCACGTGCAAGGAGAAGGGTATCAAGGAAATCTCGGGGGGAAGTCAAAGGGTCCCCATCCTCCATCTGAGAAACGAAATATCGTGGAATGAGACAAACGAGGAATAAGTAGGCCCATGATCGAAGATACATGGTTCGTAAGTGTGACGTCATTTACACTTAAGCCACGCCCACACGTTGTAGCTTCATTGGAGCCAATGGAACCGGAATAGTACAAAGCATTTTTGCCAATGGGCGCTACCTGCAGTGGTGCGTGCGTGTATGACCCATTAGTCACTTACTATATATTACCGGATAAGGGGGATTATGGTTTAAACAATTTTAACCATATAGGCCAATGAAACAGCTGCGTGGTAAAAAGCATTTAGCTGAACAACCGAAAGTTTAGGGGAGTCAGGTTGGCGTAGCGGTACTTGTCTCGCCTTCCACCGTTGTGACCCGGGTTCGAATCCCGCCTGGGTATCGGGTTTTTAGTCCCTACCTGATTCCGTGGGTTTTCCCCAGAATATTTGTCTGGGCTTTTACTCCCACCTCTAAAACTGTACTTTCTTCTCAGTGTCTTCTCTCTAAGTTGGTGTGATGTTTCCCCCGGCCTGGGATGCTTTACCGACATTAATATACAGATACAGAAAGTCTTATTTTAAACTTTTGGGTGATGATTACCGTAGGATGTGACGTAAATCGCACACATACTACATGTAAACACTATACACTATACAGAACCCTGCGGCCTAAAGTTTCACCATGGAATATTTAGAGTTATAAGCACCTTCTTCTTGAGTTCCTCCTTCCTCTTTGAGATCAGCCCATCTCCCACTTTGTGGGCGTACCCAACGGCCCTCTCCCAGGCTGGATACTGAGGGCTGAAGAGGCGAAACATCCACGGGTTGATGTACAGAGGGTTGCCAACCATTCGTGATGTGACGATTCTTGTCATGGTGTTAGTCGCTGATAGGAGGTCCATTTCCCCATCTTTTAACGGCTCCTTAAGCTAAACAGCATTCACAATGATATAAAATACACTCATTTTTAACTCCTCACTCAACTTCATTAAAACCAAAATCTTAAAGCATCATAAATCTACGTAAATTAGTAGTAGTTATATCTTAGTAGAAAAACACTTACATTCAAGGCGTCTAAATATACCCTACATTTTTTTTTAAGCCAATACCAATAGGAACTAGCTTAGCCACTACCTTAAAGTCACTTTTCCCTATAGGATAGGCCTATGTGCCGATAGTAAATGAATCGTCAAAGGCCCATGAGGCTTACTATATCCCATTACATGGATATGTGGTTTTATACAAAAACAAAACATTAAAAAACACAGGTCACAGGTGCACTCTGCAAAACTATACACCCGCTGTGGTGGAACTGATGGGGCCGTATTTACCCTTTGAACTCAGAAACTCGTTGCGAGTTCGACTTCGAGTCCATTAGAAAATAGAAACGAAGGCCTATATAACCTACTTTATTTTCCGAACTACTCAATAAGCCAAGTGCCTCCACCTTCATCTGGGCTTGTAGTGGCCATTATTAAGGGGACCAGATTCAAGTCTCATGACACTGACAGTTGAACAAGGCCTCGCACTCAGACAAGCAATAGGCCTACTATTGCGTGTATCTTCCATCTGAAAGATGTAACCCCAAAATATAGGCTGCGCGCTTCCAAGATCAAGAGGTCTTATTATTTTATGGAAGATCCTACCTGACAATTTGAGTGGTGGGAGCAAGCAGTGCGTAGAATGATATCGAAGGTGCACTGACCAAGCTCGTGCTCAACTTGCATGGGTTTACCCTCGGCTGCTAACTTGACCATTTTGCCGAGGAGCACCTCGACGCACTCGTTGTAAACCGGCACGTAGGTCTTCAGGACATCAAAGTGGAAGGATCCAGTCAGCAGCCGGCGGTGCCGCTTCCACAGCGCGCCGTCGGAGAGAGCCAGCCCCTTCCCGATCCAGTCATCGAAGAGTAGATACAGCGGTGACTTGACGGAGCCCGTGGGGCTGGTCAGCAAGGGTTTAATGGTGTCCGGGTGGACCAGCGTGGGCATCGGTACGGGGCCGTTCCACAGGGTGTAGGCGCGGGGGAAGGCGGCCACAGTGTCCAGCAGCCATTGGAACCCCGGGTCGTACGGACCCTGGTTGGTGTGCCCGGCCAGCCAGTGCGCTCCGGGCGGGCTTGGCAGCTTATTCACGGCTCTCCATATCTTCACCGTATCGTGAACAATCAAAGCCAACTTCAGAAGAAGAACAGCCACCAAACAAACACTCAACACTACCCACATACTATTAATATAAGAGAAATGTTTATACAGAGACCTACAGACCGGAAAGTGTTTTCCAAACAAGTTTCGAACGCCGAACAATATATATGGTTGTACGCGGCCGCCAGGGTGACCGTAAGTTCATGTCCAAATTCTGCTAAATGCGCTTTAAAAATCTGTCAGATTTATCAAAAATCTGCCAAATTCCCCAGAATCACTCGAAATACACTATAAACACTTAAAATCACATGCAGATGTTGTAGTTTTGTCTTAATGAAGTTTCAAATTACATTATAAACAATTTATAGTCACCTAAAGATGTCATGAAATTGCATAAAACGTGGTTAATTGTGTCGCGACGAATTAAGCCAACCTGTCCCATTATGCAAGTGTTTGTTTGAAAAGATTGAAGTTTTTAAAACAAATGTACCATTTTCTTTTACACAAATTTGCCATGTATTTGTGAAAATTACCATTTTAGAAGATTCTGTCAGAAATCTGCCAAAAAGTAGGGCATCAAGACATATAGGGCCTATACTCGGATCGTATGGGCGAACTTTTTGCTTCGTCATGTACTATTTTGAATTTGACGACCGTTACCGAGATTTTCCAAAACTTGGTCTTCACTCGGCTCCGCCTGCTAACAGTGCTATTTGGGTGCCTAATTTTGAAGATTCCGTGTCAACATTAGTCACTGTTTTCTTACAGAAATATCAAACTATATTTTCATAACCGTATGATATATGAAGCAAGTGACTTATTTAAAATGTTGATCGGAGCATTAAAAGCTTTAAGTGATAAAGCGAATCGGAAACGAAGCCGAGCTTTGAAAAAGGGCCATCAAAGTCGTCATGTTTATTTTTAGCCACGAAGGCTGCCTGACCTACGTATATGTATATAGGCCTGTTTTGTCCACAACACATGAAATAAGGCTAATACATGTTAGCCTATTGTAACAGTGGCTACAATTTCTTTTTTTGGTTACAGTTACTGCCTAATCACCATGCTGGCCTTTGCCTGCACTATGGACTTGCTGTGTTGACTTAGTCCATCTGCCGCCCGTTTATCATGCCCATGAATACTATTTTGCGTTGGCTACAGAAGTGGAGAGTTCACAAGTTCATAGTTACAACAGTAGCCTAGTGCATGCCCGATGTACATGGACTGCTCCCCTATTCAGCGACTGATTTCTCTCCCCCTCCCCAGCCACATTTTGCACATCCCATAAAATGAACAACATGTACATGATCTATATCGTTATGGTTGCAGCCCAGTCAATGGCCAAAATTCTTCCACGCCGGCCAAATTACGAGTTGCTATCCCTCAAATTCACTGCTATTTAATCATTTTGTAGGTCATGAACTTGGAAGTTGGAAGCCGTGCACAGAACTACGAGCTTGTATTTCACTTCTTTGAAATTCGGACGAAATCGGGCCCTAAAAGTGCTGTATTTTGCCATGGAGCGTCAGGCATCATTTTCCACAATGCCGATGGGCTTCAGGGCTATTTCAGGGATGTCATCTTTGGATGGAAATTTTTCCCAATTACCCCCTGAATTATGGTACAGAAAATCACATGATAAAGCTTTAAATGTATGTCTCGAACGCCTCCGAGAGTTATATTGTTCATGGATTTGGAAGTGGGGCACGGTGAATACCCTATGGAGAGAACCGTGGCTACGCCGTTGCCCCTATGACGGAATTATCTCAGTAGCAGGCACAATGCTTTCGCCATTGAGGGGGCCTCCATGAATGTACAGTAATAACGTGCTAGGTTGGAGCATGTATTGGGACATGGATTATATCAATCGGTAGTTATCGGGTACACCTTGGGACTCCTCTCTTTTGTGTGGAAGTGTGGTTCCTACAAACACATAGCCTTTCGCCAAGGCCATTGTACGCAAGCGGCGAAAGCACGAAGCGACTGGAGCAAATATTAAGTCAGCACGCACAAGTGGCGACGCCACGAGGGCCTTTCCCAACTTAATTTTGTTGAAATACTCATAGTTTTTATGCAAATAAGAAGAGTGCCGAAAGGTATACCAATCACAACGCGGATCTTGCCTAGTTGCTTCCATTTGTGACAGAAGGGCGAGTAAGGAAAACGTAAGAGCAAATAACAGTAAGTTCTGATGAAAAACAAGTTCATACACTCAAATAGTTTCTTGAAATACTTTTATAAGTAAAATTAAAATAACATAATGTAAGAACAATTACGCGGTCACGATGTCGTGGAAAACTAGACTCGCATTTTTTTTTTTTTTTTGTGCAAGCATCCAGGCGCATCCGGGTAGTAGCCACGCGCGCACTAAAAGGCTGATGATTGGTTGGAATTTTGCTACCCTTTTGGGATAGCAAAAATCATGATTATAAAGAAAAACATAAGAAATTCTTGACAAGTTGGAAAAGGCCCTCGTGGCTTCGCCACTCGCGTGTGTCGTCTCTCGCTTCAGTCGCTTCGCGGTTTTGCCGCTTTGTCTCAGTGATGCCAGCAAGTTAAGCCACGATGGCCTTGGCGAAAGGCTCAGAAACACAGTGATACACATGTACAGTCGAACCCTGATAACAGCACTGTTTATCCTGACAATGTCAGGTCCCAAGTCTTTGTTTTCTATTACTGATAACACAAGGTACCTGTTATCACAAGGTAATTAGTAAAGTCCCAAGGACTTTGTTATAAAGGTGCTCGACTGAATATTCTTACAAACTCTTGAAAGCATGACATGTCCTTGGTGGGGGGACACGAACGTTTTTAAGGCTGGTGGTATTGAACAGTGACTGCTGTCCAAGGGCGGATCCAGGGGGGGCCAAAGGGGGCCATGGCCCCCCCCCCCCAAAACGAAACCAATTTTTTTTTTTTTTATGTGACATCGCAATAAAGGCAGGCAATGAGTACACCACCATCTTTTCCTCAAAAAAACATTGGTTAAAGTGGTCAGAAATTGCCTCAGATCGCACCACAGAGCATCTAGAATCCAAAAATTTTTCGGGGCCCTTAAGCGGGCCCCGAACCCCACGCCGTATTTTTTTTGACCCACATTTTTGGGGGACCAAATTTTTTTTGGCCCCCCCGAAAATTGTGTTCTGGATCCGCCCTTGCTGCTGTCTGCTGCCAAAAAGATACTTTCAGATGCAGCATACTGCATGACGTTGAAAATACTTAATATTTGCCAATAACCATGTCATTCAGTGTTCCACGTTACCAGTTTTCGGGTGTGTAATCAGGCATGCCACATTTCCTCGGATCAGCTGATTTCCTCTTTTTTTACTTTTTTATGTGTGCCATTGAAATAGAAAAACGCTGTACAAAGTCTGGGAAAAGTTTGAATTGTTGAAAAAATTTGAATTTGAATTTCCCAGTTGCATGCCCGTGTAATGCACCAACTGAAACTGCAAAATTGCAATTTTGCAACCTGTAGATTTGATAAGAGCACTGTTAATACAACATCCTGCTTATAACACGAAAATGTTATGTCCAAAGTCTTCTTTTTTTTCCTTTGTTTTTTATTACCGATTATACAATTAAAGGTAATTTGTTAAGTCTGGAGAACCTTGTTATAAAGGTGTTCAATCCGATGTCATGATGATGGTATCACTAACACTAGGTTCACACTCAATGTGAATAACTCAATACACATCAATCAAATTGAATGAAATTCATCATGGATAAGTGTAATCTAACAGTGTAAACACTTTCTTTTGTTTTCTCAAAACCAGCAGACAGACCCAAAAGAAACAGTACAAGATACTCAGCAGTTTGTTTATTCCACGCCTTTGAATTTATTTACCAGTCTGTTAAACATGTATTTCACAATCCATACCTCAAGTTTGAGGTTACAGTTAACCTTTTGAAGTTACAGTTAACCTTTTGAGGTTACAGGTAACCTTTTGAGGTTACAGTTAACCTTTGAGGTTACTGTTAGCCTTTTTCATGTTCCAACTAGCCATGACAAAAAAATGATTTCATTAAAAAAACTATGTCATCTGGCTTTCATGATGATTTTGTTTTTGAGTACATGTGCATTGAAGCATATTCTAAAGTTGTAGGAAACATTGAGATTAGCTGCGTTGAAGTTGTGACAATGAAACGTGAGGGTCTGTGCTCCGGTGTCCGAGAAAGAGGTCGACGAGCAGCTTACTTCAGCTTCTTCTTGGGGCGGAGGTTGTTGGAGTGGCCACATTTCTTCTTGCGACAGTTGGTGGCGCGGGGGTGCAGGCGAGCGTAGCACCTGATTAAGGGGATGAGAAGGTAAGAGGCTTACATGTATTTGGTTGAACTCCTTTTTAAGCTCTGGCAGGAGCATGTCACTTGGTGGTCAGCCTGTGATGTTATTTTATTGTAAAGTTGCGGCGCTTTATTGTGCAACTTTTTACCGGCGCTTTCGAATGTCTTTCGAATGTCTGTCCAGAAAATTGACAGAAAGTATGATCTTCCATATGTGCCACTGGTGTCGCATTTTCCGGTGTCACATTTTTAAGCTCTGGCAGGGATTGTTTGATCCATTTCATGCAAGACTTCTTGCACCATGACCAGAGCTGATTGTGCACTCGCACTTGTTTTTCAGCAAGCTGTGATCTCTCTAGCGAATGCCCCATACACCATACACTAAGTTATGTGTGTTTTTGAACAGCTTACTCCCAGTGTTTGCAATATGGCACAAATTTATGAACATTCTATACATACAGTACTGCATGCTGCAATTCAAAATTGCATTTGACCGAATATTCAGACATTCGAAAGCGCCAGTAAAAAGTTGCACAATAAGGCGCCGCAACTTTACAATAAAATAACATCACAGTCGCGTGCGTATGTGCATAGTTTGTTTTTTGTTTTTTTGAAAATTTAAACCGGAAAAAGCCATTCAAATATATGGTTGGCAATGACTTAATATATTCGGGGCAGACCTAGTTGTATTATCACTGCTGTACATTGTGCTTTAAAAAGCGGAAAATACGTATGTGTGTGTTCATGAGTTGCTCGTGCAAATTAGGCTGCTACGGTTGATCACTCGAAAAGCGGGTGACTTGCCTGCAAAGTGGCCAACGGACGAAGAAGCTGCCTCCCCTAAGCGAGGCAAATCCTCATGATGCTCTATAATGGACAAGTTTCCTCAGTGATAGTGAGTCGTCATAAACAGT